TCCTATCCTCCTAATTTTTGCCTTAAAAGTCTAAATTTAGAATATTGCATCTCCACACGAAATTAGCAGAGCACAAAACTACAAGTGAAAACTGATTATTGACTAAATTAAAGGCGGTGAAAAGAAGTTAAAAGTATGTGGTAGGAAAAATACTAGTAGATTTCTTTAAACACCAAACAGATAAAACAGTTTAAAAGCATCTAAAATTCTTCCACGTGGCGTATATACACGAGGAGAGTACATCTCACGACTAAAACGACGTCGTTGAGTTTAAGGCTTAAAACCAGTAGGTTGTCTTTTGGCCTTTTAATATCGCCGCCGGGACGAAGAAAAAAAAAGGAGATTGCTTTTGATCTCTCTCTCTTCTCGATTAAACTCAAATCGGAGATTTTTGTGAGGGTTTCGGTAATCGTTTGAGAGAGAGATCGAAGATTGTGAAAGAAATCCTCAAGGGATCGTTGAATCGTATTTGGTGTGTGACTATTTACTGTGATTTCGATTTTTGTATGGGAGTTTTGAAATCGTCGACTTATTGATGGCATCAGAGGATGTGAAGAGGACTGAATCTGCAGCTGTTTCTACGATTGTAAATCTGGCGGAGGAAGCGAAGTTAGCGACAGATGGAGTCAAAGCTCCGAGTTATGCTATTCTCAGTATCTGCAAATCTCTCTTCGCTGGTGGTGTCGCTGGTGGAGTGTGAGTCGTTCGTTCTATCTCTTCCCTTACTTTTTCTTGTTGATTGATTTGGGGAAAACCAGAAATGGAAATGTTGAGTAAGATTAGCCATTCACTGGGTTCTTCTAATTTTGCTCGATAATGCCACATAGTAGATTTGATAGCTCAGTGTTATCTTACGATTCCATGAAAAATTCAAAACTCCATTGATCTTGATCTTGTTGCTGAGAATAAGTGTAGTAGATCAGTGACTTACCCTTTTTTTGTTCAGAGATCGAAACCATTGTTTAAGTAGTCAAAATGTAGATACGCGTTAATGTCCGATGGATAAGAATGGTCAACAAAGCTACAGGAGTAAGAAAAAAAAAGGCAAACTTTACTCGATTAGGTTTGAGTCCTGTGATTGACATAGAGCAGTTAGATGCTTTATCTTTCAGTCTCTGTGTTACATTCAATGCTCACGTTTTTTGTTAATAACTCACTGGAGATTCGTGTTTTATTAGGTCACGAACTGCAGTTGCACCTCTGGAAAGGATGAAGATATTACTTCAGGTTTTGTTCTTGGTTGATTGAATTTGTTTTTGGAACATCTAAATGATTGGAGGCTTACTTGATTTGTTGATTTCCAATATGTAGGTGCAAAATCCGCATAACATAAAGTATAATGGGACAGTCCAAGGTTTGAAGTATATTTGGAGAACCGAGGGCCTTCGTGGATTGTTCAAAGGAAATGGCACCAACTGTGCTCGTATTGTTCCAAATTCCGCTGTGAAATTTTTCAGCTATGAGCAAGCTTCAGAGTAAGACCTCTCTAAGTGTCTTTATACTCTTTCTCGTGATTTTCATTGTACTTGGTTCTACTCAATATATATCTCTTGTCTAATCTCTACATTCTCTCTCTTTGATAGGGGCATACTGTACTTGTACCGGCAGCAGACAGGAAATGGTAACAGTTAGCCTTTAATTTTCAGTTTCTAAGTTAAGCTTTTGGAGCTATATTGAACTCACATCACCAACCTTTTGCATCGATGGCGCAATTGTACTCCGTTTATAAGATTTTATGGATCATAGGTTTGTTTTTTCTTTTCTGCAGAAAATGCCCAACTCACTCCTCTTTTACGGCTTGGAGCTGGTGCAACTGCTGGAATAATAGCCATGTCTGCAACATACCCGATGGATATGGTGCGTGGAAGGCTAACTGTTCAGGTAACCTTTTGTACCCCAATATTGGAACTGCTGGAGCCATATTGGTCATCTTGTAACTCTGCAAACATGGATGTGTTCACAGACTGCAAACTCTCCTTATCAATATAGAGGAATTGCGCATGCCTTGTCAACTGTCCTGCGAGAGGAAGGTCCACGGGCCTTGTACCGTGGTTGGCTTCCATCGGTGATTGGAGTTGTAAGTCTTATTCTCTTACTTTCGTCCAACATAGCACTACAATTTTACCATTTGATGAGACCCTTCTGTTGAATGCAGGTTCCATATGTGGGCTTGAACTTTGCGGTCTATGAGTCTCTGAAGGACTGGCTAATTAAAGACAATCCATTCGGTCTAGTAGAAAACTCTGAGCTGACCGTCATAACGAGACTCTCTTGTGGTGCTGTAGCTGGAACAGTTGGTCAAACAATTGCTTATCCACTCGATGTGATTCGTAGGAGAATGCAAATGGTCGGGTGGAAAGATGCTTCCTCTGTTGTTACAGGCGAGGGAGGAAGCAAGGCTTCGCTTGAATACACCGGTATGGTGGATGCATTCAGAAAAACCATTCGCCATGAAGGCTTTGGAGCATTGTACAAGGGTTTGGTCCCCAACTCAGTGAAGGTTTGTCTCTTAACAAAACCCAATTTCTCTTGTCTTCTTACAAAACTAAACATGTTTGATAAGAAAGCGAAATGGTTTTCATCTTTCTATAATAGGTTGTACCATCGATTGCGATTGCGTTTGTGACATACGAGATGGTGAAAGAGGTTTTAGGAGTGGAATTTAGGATATCAGACTGAGCCATTATGATATCTTCAACAAAGAGAGCACACTTCTATTTTTGTAGCCGAGGAGACAGAAGATAAGTTGAAATTTAGGGGATTTATTCATCTCCTTGGACAAAGGCTATAGTTTATTTTTTCTTTCTCTCTTATAGATTTGGGTTTCTGCTAAAATCAAATAAGCCAGTGGCCAATGATATCAAAAACTTATTTGATACTGGAGATTGTGTTGCATGTTTTATTTGGTCTTTGAGTATTACTATTGTTACGACTCTTATTTGTAACTTGAGTAATAATAGATGAATAATTCCGAGTTTTCTCTAGTTTTTTTTTTTTTTCACGAATTCGGATCGTGGAAGATAAATATTCATGCGTGTGCTAGTGTCGTGTGAATCGTTCGCTAAACATACATGTATACAAACTTTTATGGTTTCATGCCGTTTTGATAATATAGTAACGAAGTGTTTAGCGTTGTTTATGAAAGTGAACGGCACGTCGTGTTATCGAATTAAAGGTAAACAACGGCTTTTCGTTTGTTATGGGCTTTTAAAACTAAGGCCCAAATAAAATTAAATCAGAATCGTGAATATGTAGACACCAAATCACCCCAATTCGCGCGTTAAATTTATCAACTTTTGCCAGATTTCAAATATAAATATTTCATTCAAAGAAAACAAATACATGGAGAATAAATAACTAACTCTGAATCACACATGTTTCGGATACATATTTCAATTTTTTACTTCCTAAGAACAAATTTATAATTAATCTTAGTTTCAAATGATAAAAATGGTTGAATATAATATTAGATCTTTTGTGAACCTGAATGAAAAGGACACATTCATCATCATTGCTTATGAGTGCAGCTTAATCCTGCATTTAAATGCAAATCAATTAAGTAATCAACCAAAATGAACACTAAGATCTGAGTTTATATTATGGATAATTAGTAAAATTGGATTGGCTACGTACCATTTAAGCATTTTGATGGTGCATTTAGCCATCTGTGTATCAAGCGTCTGTAGTCTCACACCACCACATTTGATACTTACCCCCACCGTAAAAATCTTACGCCTTCCCACACCCAATCCTACCTTTGTCTTCGCCGTCACTTTCACCACCAACCTCTTACTCTTCATCTCCGTTCGAAGCTTCTTAACCGTCGAATCATCCACCTGTTCGACACATAGGTGAATGAAAGTGAAACCATCGATTAGGACCCCAAATTAATTTTTTTTTGGTCAAAGGACCCCAAATTAACTATATAGTAAAATTTGAGTAACAAAAAATAGCACAATTTTATGATATTATTAAATATATATTAAAAAATGCAAATGTTTTTTTTCCGATAAATCGTCAGAGTTTTGAACCATTTGTACCTGTTGTTTCTTCGTTTTGATCGGAATAATCACAACCGTCCGATTTCCCGGCTTCTCTATAAACCCTTTGACTTTTGTTGACCCAAGATTCGTTTCAAAATCTCCGTCTCCGACACTCACCGCCACGTCAGCATCGTCGTAATAGTACAGTAGCTTTCCGTTAGGGTTTCTGAAATCCAGCCTCGCCGTGGCGTCCGACATCAAAATGGACAATCCGTCGCCGGCTTTTCCGGCGGAGAAATTGAAACCACCGATGCGGAAAGAAGCAAGGCGTATGACGGGGAGCCTGGGGCTGTACCAGAGGAAGAACACGGAGACGGTGAGGATAAGGAGGAGGATCACGATTGCGACGGTGATGCAGAAGCAGCAGCAAAAAACGCGGCAACGACTCCAATGTTTCTTCTTCTCCGGGTAAAACGACGCCGGAATCAAATGCTTTGGTGGTCGGCGACGAAGCGTCGATGATGATGGTCCGTTTGGAGTTTCCGGTGTTGCGTGGAGTTCACGGTAGCCTGGTGGTTTTTGAAGAACCGGTTTAAGAAGCTTCTCCGCCGCCATTTCTTCGTCGCCGGTGGTGGTCTTTGGGCTTCTATGATCTCTGTTCTTCTCCATGTAATTATTATGGTTTTTATCAAGAACATGAAAATGTATCAGAATGAAAATTAGAAAAGTCTTTTATTGTGATTTAAAATGTAATTATAAATGATTTTTGTTTGTAATAATATATAAATCTTTGTATGTAATCCTACCAACAACAAAAAAAAAACAATAATAAATGCACAAAAATATATAAATTTGTGAAGACACTTTGGCCACTTACTGAATCTTCAAAATGACAGGGCGTTTGCCTCCCTGGAGTGTGAACTGCTCGTTGTTTTTACTTATTAAACACGGACGGCAATATTTGGACTTACACAAATTGGTCATGTGTTTGGAATTGTATATATATTCACGCTTAATTCCAATCATTGCTAATTGTATTTACTTATTATAAAAGTATAAACGAGGAAAGCACGTCTATAATGATTTTTCATATTTTGATAGGTAAAAGGACTCAAGCGGCCTAGTGGTGGTCTAGTGATAAATAGTCGTGGCAAATATGTATATGAATGATTCAAAAACCATCGTAAAATTAAACATCTGCACACGAAAAGTAAATATGATTCAAAAAGAATAATACAAGAAGCGATTGCGAAACGAAAGACCATCAAAATACGTCTCTCCTTATAACTCTAATCGATTCGCTTACACAACCAAACCTACCTAGCTTCTGACTAGTGATATTATTACTACATCAGTTTCACCTCATAATATGCAGAAAGCTGCAAGTAAAAAAAATCTCTTAAAAAAGTTACAAACAGAACTCATAAGAAGAAATAAAACAGAGTTCTCACTTTTTCCTCCATGGTTAGCTAACTAGCTGCAACTGGATCGGTTCTTGGATTTGCATTTAACATTTGATGTTCCGCGTTCTTATCAACTCGAGATATAAGGTTCGCTGTTTTCCCCGCTGTTGCTTGTGTCTGCACCGATTTCAGTTGATCCTGTAGAGGATTAAGTTATGTTACTATGACCAAACTACACTAATGATTTTGTTCAAAAAAATGTCATGTGATGAGTATATTGTTACCACTAAAGCTTCGTTCTCCAGCCGTAGTTTCTCGGACTTTTCGTTTAATTGGCTTAGTTTGGACCTAAGCGTCATGTTCTCAGCTACTAGTGCATCAACTTTGACAGAGAGTTCTTCAGTTTCAGCCTAAGTTACCAACACAGTCCATTGAGTTAATCGGTCTTTCGGCTTATAAATAAATATGAAAATACCAATCACCTGCTTCCTCAGCCTCGACCTTCTAGCAGATTCTCGGTTCGACTGTTTTCTCTTCTCTCGTTTAAGCTCTTTTTCATTCTGCAGATTAAACATACCACAAGTAAACAAAAGTCACAAAAACGAGCTACTTATTAGAATATATAGATCATGGTTTAATGTTGGTTTAGCGAAAGAAGCGTAAGAACGAGTTTTATAACAACACCTTTCCCCAGACTTCAGTGGAAGCACCATGGCGCGGCTGTGGTACGCAACCAGAGTTTTGGAAATCCATTGATATGGGCATAACAGAAGTCAACATAATCGTTGCAGGTTTCTCATTTTCATCTCTAAGAGGAGGGCTGGTTTGAGATAAAGTTCTTCCATCTACCAAGAACAAGAAAGACTAAGTAAAGTAACCATGTACTTTTAATAGCTATAAACACCGAAGCACGCAACTACTTCGTATACAAAAGTAGGGAGAAGAAGAAATACCGGTAGTTGGTGATCCTTCCCGGCTTCTTTTCCTCTTGGATTGTTCTCCCTATGGTTAAAAAAAAGACGGATATATATAAAGAACCAAGAAACATAAAAAACAGTTTGAAGAAGAGATAAGGAATTCGTACCCCGGTTGTATTACCATCACTACCATTGCTAGAATCATCATTCTGAGAGCTAACGATATATAAAAAAAAACAAGTTAGATAGAATCTAATCGATAAACGATAAAGCAAAAGGAGAAATTGACACACAAGTATCTTTGAATCAAAGCAGATTTCAACTAGTTTGACAAACCTTTGAGAACTCCTATGTTCACTGCTATGTTCACCACTCCCAGCTTTATTATTATTGCTTATTGACATTGCAAGTCCATCAAATTCTTTCAATTTTTTCATGAAACCATGATCCGTGTTTCCCGGTGAGTTAGCTGGAGCATCCATGCTCAAAGGAGTTGTAACCTGAAAACATACTCATATATTCATATTCATCCTATCCTTTACCTACCCATTCGCACAGATACATCATAAGATCATGACTTACACTAGGTGTTGCTTGAGAAACAGGACCTTGTGGTTGTGAACCCTGATGATAAAGTGAGAAAACATGAATTAGTCTACTCAACAAGATTTGATAAACTATGTAGCACCGAGGGCAAAAGAAACCAATCGAATGTCGGGTTGATTACCATTTGAACACCGGGATGAGCATAAACTGCACCAGGTGGGCAAAATGGCGGATATGGTGGTCCGTAAGGAGGCATCATAGGCTGAAATAGTCAAGTAAAGTCCATACTCAATCCACAATAAACTCTTATCATATAGATATATGAATTTAACAAGTTTAAGATTAGTACCGATGGAGACGCCCACATATAAGGAGGTGGAGCGTGACCTGGCGCTACATTTGAGTTGTAATACTGAGGTATAGCAACTCTGTGACCATAATATGCCTAACAAATCATGAAAAATTTTAAGCTCAATCACTCACAACAAACAAACAATTTAAGCTACTGAGAGAGGAAACAGTAAGTCCGAAAGCAAATCACCTGCATAGCAGCCCAGTCATGATGATACACATGAACATTGCTCTGCTCCTG